CATAGTTGTAGACTGACTAAGATCAGTGCCCCTGTAGGTCCCCTGATAACTTAGTGTAACTAGAGAGCACACCACCAAATAAGAGAGCAAACCTACCTCAACCCTGGCGGCCACATCATCCTAAGCAGAGGTGGACCCCCTCAACTCAACTCTTTAGAGATCTACCTCACCACTGGATGAGAGAACCAATCTACCTCACCAACCGATGAGAGGCCCAACCTACCTCACCATCTGGATTATCCGGACCTTTCCTGTTCCTGTTTGGATATACCTTCACTGGATTACCCTTTTTACTCTTTCCGGGACAAACGCTATGGAAATACATCAAGATCTACCACTATGACTGTGTAACTTGCCTTTCACGTTATGCTGATGTGTGCAATTCAACATCCGTGGAAAAGGTTGTGATTTGCAAAGGGGGGATTTGTAGCAAAACGTGAATCTTTTCTCATCAAGAGACAGACAAACTATTGCTCCTGTTAACTCCACCCATTAACCCTGTCTGCAACATCTAAAAAATGGAACAATGTCTTTTCTCCTGTTTATCTCCTCTGTGATCCTCCCCCTCTTGGTCACAGGTATTCAGATCAAAGGAACCTGTAGTTTGGTATCTGTGTAAGAAAAAAAATACAAATTGTAAAACAAACCTTTCATGTTTCCTTCAGGACAAAAACCCAGACTTCCTGGCTTCAGTTAAATTGGTTTATCACCTCTTTGAGAACAGACCGGAATAAGCTTTATTTTAACTTCAAAGAAACCTCACTAAAGGACAATAAAAAGACTCAACTTCAAAAGACATTCCAAAGCCCCTGAAAACAAGGCTACAAGTGTCATCTGTTAGTCAACAGTGACCCCAGAAGCGCTGCTCATAAGTGAATCATGAATGGACACTCTCTAACCACTCTGAAACATCAAAAAGAAAATGTGTAACTAATAATCATTACATTGTTCGATAACATGATTCAATCAAGATTTAGTAGACAATTACGGACGTTTTCCTCAGCTAGAGTTTGTAAACTTTTCTTGTGAAAGCAAGCCACATCACGTGACCCTTTCAGCCAATAAGGGTACTCCAATGCTGAGATAAAGGATCAGTGATTCTGCCATGGTTTAGTTCTGAGAAAGTGCTGGTGAGTCAACAGATCTGAGAGAAGCGCTAAGTTTAGCTCCCCCACTTGGGGCGAGGTTTTAATTTTTTTTAGTTTTATTTTGTAGTTTGTGGACGTAGTCTATGGGAGGAAGTATTAAGCGAGTCAGAAACTTTTAGAGCTGATTTTGTGTCACGACAGCGCCCAAGCGTCTATATGTAATGAGTCCGACATAAGAATGTGTTCGATTTCTAGTGACTGCCTGCTGCTCAGAAACAAGAAGAGATTAAAGAAGCTCCACTTTAAACCTGATCAGGACCAGCTAGGTTTCACAAGACTTGTTACCATGGAAACAGATCTGCTTCCTCTTTTGTGAAACCAAATCAAGAATTAAAATGAAGGAAATTTTTTCTAACAGTGATTTTTAATGCTCGACACATTCTTGGTTTCACCTGGAGAACTAGGTAATTTGATGAGAACCTACTTATGGAATTCTCTAGTTTTAGGATGAAACTGAGATAAATTGATGTTCAATCTGCTTTGAATGACTCATGTCAGCTCATGTCAAACAGAATGGACTTTAAATGATCCATTAGTTAACACAGGCCTGTCAGCAGACAACAGAGCAGCACAGAGTTCTTTTCTCATCAGGTTGGAGATTGTTGGAACAGGAGTCTTGTCATGGTCTGTGTTTATTTTCCTTAGTTTTCTAGTGTTTTCAGTGTTTCCCTGTGTTTCTCAGCCCAGCTGCCCCACATTTCCTTGATTGTCACCCTTGTGTTTCCCCACAGGTGTGTTCTGTTTAGTAATTAGTTTTCTGTGTATTTAAGCCCTGTCCTGTCTCTGTCTTTGGTCGAATCATTGTTTGATGTGTGTTGGTTCTGGTTCTCTGTGCTTTGTTCCCCCYGCCTGTGTGATCCTCGTGCCTCCTGTAAGTTCAGCTGTCTCTACAGCATTTTTGTTATTTTAAAATAAATTTTTGTTCTACTTTTGGAGCCTGCCTGCGCCCTGGGTCTGTTCATGCCAAATCCTCACATAATGATCCGACCACGCACCCAGCCCGCAGGCAAAGGTTTTTCAGGTCTGCCCTTCCAACAGGCAGATGATTTTTTTCGCCACCACCTCAACCCCACACGACTGGTTTAACCTCACCTGCCTGTGAGGAACCGGTCCCATCTCTGCCGCCGTGGGAGGATGAGGTAACTAGCCCTCTGATTGCTGGATCGCTGATGATCCTCCGGTGGTCCTCCACCTATGGGGCAAAACGAGTCCTCTGCCAGCAGATCGAGGATGTTTTGGCAAGATGTCCCGATCTGCTGCTCCTGCCTGGCCACCGGAGGGTCAGTGATTATGCTCGGCGTCTGCTGGCTGAGCATTTAAACACCCACCCTCCCACCCCTTCTGAGTCTGTTGCTGCTGGGCCTTCTGAGTCTGTTGCTGCTGGGCCTTCTGAGTCTGTTGCTGCTGGGCCTTCTGAGTCTGTTGCTGCTGGGCCTTCTGAGTCTGTTGCTGCTGGGCCTTCTGAGTCTATTGCTGCTGGGCCTTCTGAGTCTGTTGCTGCTGGGCCTTCTGAGTCTGTTGCTGCTG